TATATATATTATATATATATATAAAATGCAAAAAACGGAAAGAAGGGCAATGATATTGTTGGTTTTCGATTCCGACTTTCATTTCACATTTTTTTCCCGATTCCGATCTCCATTCCTTTTTGGTTATTTTCTAGATCTGGCTGCCGTACCTTTCCGTTTCGTTTTGATTATTTTTCCGTCTTTGTGGCCGACCGGTTTTAATTCTAATTCTGATATTCTTCCAATTCCGGTTTGAATTTCTTTTTTCCGGGGTCCGGTTCCTGCTTTCATTAGGTCTGGCCCGTTCTCATTCGAATTTCCAATGCGTTTCTATATCCGATCATGGATTCTCATTTTTCGAAATATCTGGATTTACTATGCTTCCCGTTGTTTTCTTCCGATTCCAAATCCGATTCCCGTTTTAGTTTTTCCCTTCGCGGTTTCCCTTTGTTTTCGAATTCAATTTTGGTTTCATTTTTCCAATATCGGAATGGATTTCTCGAAACATGCGGCTTTCTGTGGCGTTGCAAATCGCTCATATGAAATTACATAACGCCCAACACTCTCCGACGAGCTGTCGTGCACGCCTGTTGGGGATTCTCGGGATGATCATAAAAAACGTACCGGTATCCCCCACGGATTTCTCCGCGGAATCACGCGCAATATTTGAAGAGTATCTGCGCGACCCTGGATTCGCATAACAACCGCAAGTAAAAAAGGCTTCGCACCAAGATAAAACCAAACTTAGCATACAAAAGGCCCAAGCAATTCTTGTAATACATGCTGAAAGACATGGGCGCACGTTAAGTCTACATCGGTACGATTTTGATTACACTACCATGAAGATGCTATTTGAACTTAATACCTGGACAAATAAATTTTATTTGAGCATATCCATTCTGAAAATATTATTGAAACCGATGTTGACCGTTCTTGAAGCCCTTATTCGGTTATTGAAACCTGTGCTCTGATTTTGAAACCTGTGTCGCTCAACAAGACTACGCCCTACCATTTTGCAACACTTTGCATAACGCCCGCTGTTTTGCTCTGACATGCAACAACAAACCGTCTGCGCAAACCTTGGCAACGCACCGCGTAATCTGTGGGTTGCGGTAAAACGTGTGTATATGTATGTATGTATCTATCTATCTCTATATATATATGTATGTATGTATGTATGTATGTATGTATGTATGTATGTATGACAGAGCGTGATCCACCGCCGCTTTACTGTGGAAAATTGCCAACCTTTTCCTCCGGAACCCGGGGGTCTCCCCCCCCCCCCCCTCCGAAAATCCCCCCCCCCTCCCCCGCTGGACCCCCCCCTCCCCCCCCCCCTGGCAAAAAACCCCCCCCTCCCTAACCTCCCCCCCCCCCTCCTCCCCCTCGAAAACCGGGGAGGTCACTACCGGTTCGAACCCCTCCCCCCCCCCCCCCCCCCTCCCGATCCGGAAAACCGGGGGGGGTCAACTACCGGAGGGGGGTCACTACCGGTTCGACCCCCCCCCCCCCACGCACCGCCAGCAAACGACTCCCGGTCCCTACCACCGCTCGCATCACATCCCCCACTGTTGTTCCCAGCACCACTGTCCTCACCACCACTGTCCCCACTGGTTCCACCACCGTCCCTATTGTCCCCACCAGTGCCCCCACCACTGTCGCACTGTCCCCACTGTTCCCACCACTGTTCCCACCACGGTTCCACTCTCCCCACTGTCTCCACGGACCCAACCACTGCCTATCCCCACTGTCCCACTGACTCCTCCGCTGTCCCACTGAGCTGTCCCACTGTTCCCACCACTGTCCCCACTGTCCCCACCACTGTCCCCACTGTACCTCTGTCCCATTGTCCCACCGCCGTCCTCGCCACCGCCTTTACCACTGTCCCCACCACCATTGCACCCTCCACTGTCCCACTGTTTCCACCTCATTCCCACTGTCCCCTCACCACTGTCCCCACCACCACCGTCCCCACCACTGTCCACTGTCCCCCCTGTTCCCACCATTGTCCTCACCACTGTCCCCACCACTACCGTCCCCACCACTGTCCCACTGTCCCACTGTCCCCACCACTGTCCCGCTGTCCCCTCACCACTGTTCCCACCAAAACCGTCCCCACCACTGTCCGCACCCCCACTCGGTTTTCGAGGGGGGGGGGGGTTCGAACCGGTAGTGACCCCCCCCCCTCATGATGACTGTCGACCCCCACTCGGTTTTCGTGGGGGGGGGGGGTTCGAACCGGTAGTGACCCCCCCCCCTTTTCATGATGAGCTGGGGGGGGGGAGGGGTTCGAACCGGTAGTGACCCCCCCCGGTTTTCCGGAGGGGGGGGGGGAGGGGTTCGAACCGGTAGTGACCCCTCCCGGTTTTCCGCCAGCAGCGGTAGAACACGCTCTTTCGTATGCATGTATGTATATATATATATATATATATGTATGTATATTTGTATATATATATATATATATATATATATATGTATGTATCTCCCTCTATATATATACATTTGATGAATACGTTTTGTAGAACGCGATTCCGAAATTCACAAACAACAAAACATAATACCAACAAGAAGCCCCAACAATACAACACATCTAGGAGCGTCCCTGGGCGCGCATGATTACGCTCGGCGCGCACGCGCTCCTCGTCGACGTCGGCCCCGTGGACGCCGGTCGCGTCCGGTCCTTGTGCACTTGCTGACTGTCTTTCGGTTGAGGTGCGTATGAACTCTGAGAATGGCCCGTTCACGCCTCTTCCGAAAACCAATTTCCTGAAAATGGCCAAACCATCATAGGGGGTCCCACAGTCGCCCGAACACCAAACCCCGCCATGGTGCTCCTCGAATTCAGAGCTCATACTAAGATGGCGAGGAGAAACCATATCAAACCTCGTTGCAAAACCCGGATAGCGAAGCCGGCGGCGGCGAGAGGCCGCGGCGGCGGTGGCTGGCGGGAGGCCCAAAAGTGGTGTTAATATCGCAAAAGCGCAGTCCCCCGAGGGCGGCGAGGTCCCGCTCAAATCTGCGCGGTGCCTCATTCCGCTGGACCCACCAGCAGCCCTCGAAGGTGGCGACAATGTCGGAGATCGCAGTTCCCCAAGGGCGGCGAGGTCCTGCTCAAGTCTACGAGGTGCCTCACTCCGGTGAACCCACCAGCTGCCCTCGAAAATGGCGACGATAGTGCAGATCGCAGCCCCCCAGGGACGGCGAGGTTCCGCTCAGGTCTGCGCAGTGCCTCACTCTGCTGGACCCAGCAGCCGTCGAAAGTGGCGACAATGTCGCAGATCGCAGCCTCCCAAGGTCGCAGATCGCAGCCCCCCATGGACGGCGAGGTCCTGCTCAGGTCTGCGCGATGCGTAACTCTGCTGGACCCACCAGCAGCCCTCGAAAGTGGCGACAATACCGCAGATCGCAGAAACCGAGGGACGGCGATGTCCTGCTCAGGTCTGCGCGGTGCCTCTCCCTGCTGGACCCAGCAGCAGCCCTCGAAAGTGGCGACAACGTCGGATATCGCAGTTCCCCAAGGGCGGCGAGGGCCCGCTCAGGTCTACGAGGTGCCTCACTCCGGTGGGCCCACCAGCAGCCCTCGAAAATGGCGACAATATCGCAGATCACAGCCCCCCAGGGACGGAGAGGTCCCGCTCAAGTCTGCGCAATGCCTCGCTCTGCTGGACCCACCAGCAGCCCTCGAAAGGTGCGACAACGTCGCAGATCGCAGCCCCCCAGGGTCGCAGATCGCAGCCTCCCATGGACGGCGAGGTCCCGCTCAGGTCTGCGCGGTGCCTCGCCCTGCTGGACCCAGCAGCAGCCCTCGAAAGTGGCGACAATGTCGCAGAGAGCTTGAGAACGCCTGCGGGCACCTGGGAAGCGCTTGGGAACGCTTGGGAACGCCTGCCCGGGAGCATGCGCGTGGGAATTTAGGGGCTCTCCTAAACCGTGAAAATCTCTATTGTGGGAGGTCGCCGGCCTCTCGGCCGGGGGTGGGAAGATGGTGTAAAACTTACACCCATGAACTTGGACTGTCGCCCGCTGCGAACCGAAAAACCCTAACCCCTCAAACCTAAACCCCAACCGTGAACGGCGACATGATGCATCTGTCGCTGAAGAATCTCCTCAATTTGTTTCATCATCGCACCTGCTCATTGTTGCTGTGCCGCCTCCTACTCGGCCTCTCTGAAGCACATGAAAGCCTTAAAACTGCAAATCGGATGTATGACAAACTGGCCTGGGTTCAGAACAAGGGTGTCTGCAGCCGGGTGAACCCAAGTGTGAGTATTCGATATCCCAATGTGCCCATGGATCATTGCCCCTGGCTCACGCCGCTCCCTGGCTACTGACCTCAGCACCGCCCTGCCGGCGCCACGTTTCCTCCATCTCCCCGCTCCTCTAGCACGCCACCCTTATCTCTTCGCCCATCTCCCCCCCCACTGCTACATGTCAGCCGTGCCCTCGCTGAGAGCTTTGCCGGGCTCCGGGACCGCCACTTGAGGAATCAACCCAGAAATCGCTGCCCTGCTGCCCCTGGGTGATGTGTAGACGAAAACTGCATAAACGGAAACTTTCGGAGGTCAGCGCGGATTGCTCGGATCGGCGCTGGCCCCCTCCAGGCGCGGCGCTGGAGGCGCCGCCAGGGGGGCCCAGCGCCGATCCAAACAATCTGTGCGGATTCCGAACACTTACGCTTATGCATTTTTTTTCTAATTCGAGTCCCCCTTGGCCCTGGGATCGTTGTCCTAACCTGAGCACGCCGCTCCCTTCTGCGGCGACTCGTGGGAGCCTCCCATACAATCTTGATGGCGCTTGCAAGTCGACGCGAATCGACGCCAGTCGACGCCAAATTTGCGCCGTTCCATCGACAACTGAACGCTGACCAACGCCAGCGCGCCCTAAAAACATAATCGCGAGGGGGGAGGAGGAGGAGGAGGAGGAGGAGGAGGAGGAGGAGGAGGAGGAGGAGGAGGAGGAGGAGGAGGAGGAGGATAAGGCTCCCATGACTCGCTGCCGCAGCCTCCCTTTTCGCCCTTCCCTCAGGCCGGCGGCCCGGGCGCGCGCGGCAGCAAGCCCTGCGGTCCCACCGCCCACGCGGGCACCTTGCCGGGGGGCGGGGGGACGGTGCGCGCGCGGTGGCCGCCCGAGCGGCTCGGGCGAGGCGAGCCGGGGCCCGATGCGGGACCCAACTCGGCCCCAGAGGGCCCCAAGACGGCCCAAAGGGCCTCCGAAACGGCCCAAGATGCCCCCACGACGGCTCCAAGAGGAGGCCCAGACGGGGGATCCAAACGGACATTCGAGCCCTCGGCCCCAAAAGGTCCTCAGGAAACCCCCAGAAACACCCAAGGGCCTCCCAGAGGAGAGAGTCGGGCCGCGCGCTGCTCTGGGCACGGGTCGAAAAAAGGCTCGAGGAAGACGCTCGAGGAGAGGAGACGACGAGAAGGAGGAGGACCAGTGCAGACCCCACACGCAACAACGATGTTGCAATAAACCCTCCCTCCAGGGGTTCTCCCTTCATAATTCAGTTCCTGCTGGACCTTATCTCGGCCAATTCTCCATCATTGAAACAAAACCGTCTGGTAATCCCAAATCGGGCACCACTCTTGGGACTTCGACGCCGCGAATCAACGAGACGCATGCGTCCTGACGATCCGACATCGCACCAGCACGCCATTCCTTGGACTTACAAGCACCACGGAACAACGTGACAGCTGCGTCCAGGCAATCCGAAATCATACCAGAACGCCAGTCTTGGGGCACCAACCATACAAATCCTTGAAACTGGTGCACTCTTTGACAACGAATGCGCGCGGCACCACGGCGAGAGCCAGATTTTGAAAATGACCCCGTCCTTGAAGCGCTGCAAGTTTTGAAAGCGAATGTGCGCGGCGGGCGAAAACCACATTTTGAAAATCACCCGCCCTCCATCCTTGAAGCTGTGGCAAATTCCAACATGATCATGGACGGTGAAGAAATCGTTAGCGAAACGCCCAGCCCGCCGTACCGACACCTGTGGGGGTGCGACAAGGAGAAATTATTTAATCGCTTCGCTCATTCCGCCGGCCCATATTGTCGCGTAAGCGGACGACGAGGGGAAGGAGGAGGCCTGTGTATGTTTTCTCGGGCAACTTTTCAAACGGAACTCGGTCGTCGACAAGACGGGTCTTTGGGAGACGTCGTGGGGTTTCTTGGGGAGCCTTTTCGGAAGCCTTTTGCGAGCCTCTAGGGAGCTTCTTGGCGTAGAATTTTTGGGCCTCTGCGAGCTTCTTGGGGCCCTGCTGGCGGTCTCGTGAGGGATCTCGCGGGAAACGGCCAGACATGGCAGCTCGGAGTACCGTTCTTGGGGTCTTCTGGGGGCCTCTGGAACCGTCTTGGGGGGCCTTTGGGGCTGTCTTTCAGTGCTCTGGGGCCGTCTAGGGCTCATCTTGGGGGCATGTTGGGGCGATTTTGATGTCCTCCTGGGCAGTTTTGAACATTGTGAAGACTCCAAGTCGTTTGTGAGGAAATTGTACGTTTCCAAAAGGGAATGGGACGACTTGTATTTCTGGGGGCCCTCTTGAGGCTCTCTCGGGGCTTCTTGGTGGCCTCCAGGGTTGCCTGGAAGCCATCTTGGGCGTCTTGGAACGATCTTTCGGCGACTCGGAATCTTTTGGGCCGTCTGGGTCTCTCTGGGGCATCAAGACACCAGCGGGGCACCAATCGGGACACCGCGGGGGCACCATCGGGACACCACCAAGACACTAGTCGGGACACCAATCGGGACACCACGGGACACCACGAGACACCACAGGACATCATCGGGACACCACGGCGGGACACCCCGGGCACTCGCCCGCCAACAGGGCGGGAGAGCTGACTTCTGCCCCGGCGGCGCCCAAGCAATAGAGGGTTCATGTCTGTCTGTCGCCCGCCTACGCAATCTCGTCTCGCCCGCACGCGCGACACGAACACGAAACCGAAAACGATTTCCCCGGGTTGGGCTCTCCGCCCCACTTCGATCTCAACCTCCCACCTCCGACTCCTCCGAAAATTGCCTCCTTCTCTTCTTCCCGCCTCCTCCTCCTCCTCCCTCTTCCCTCCTCCCTCCTGCCCCTCCCATCCTCCCCCCTCCTCCTCCTCCTTCTCCTCCTTCTCCTCCTCCTCCTCCTCCTATCCCCAGACCCCCAGGGGCGGGGAGGGGTCCTCGAGCCCCGGCAGCTCGTAGTCCCTGCCGTAGTACTGCAGCGCCTGGGGGCCCCGCTCCTTCTCATGCCCTGTCTCCGCGGTGGCACAGCTAGGGACCCCTGCGATCCGAATCGATGTGATCCCAGCGATCCTACGCTCCGAAAAAAATTGGAGCGGCCTCAACGGTCCCCAGAACCGTCATAAACATAAACTTTAGGACCTCCGCGTGGATTTCTTGGATCGGAGCTGGACCCCCCCTCCCTGGCGCGCGGAGCGTGCCAGGGGCGCTGCCGGAGGCGCCGTCAGTGGGTCCAGCGCAGATCCAAAACATCCGCGTGGAGGTCTGAAAATTGATGTGTATGCAATTCTTTCTTTTGCAATTCTGTCTTTTTCGACTTCAGGCCCCGCTCCAACGCGGTACGGTGCATCATAATTCAGCTCGGAATGACTGAGAAATCATGCACCGTGCCACTCTTTGGCCGAGGATCGACTACGCCTCGGGAGATGGCAGCGCGGTATGGTGCATGCGTGATGTCCGCGGAAAATCGGGTCGGGTCGCCAGCTGATCGTCCAGAATCTCGACTCGAGTTCGGACCGCCGCCCCCGGCTCCAACTGGCCCCAACCTGTGCAAATGAATCGAACCGAAACGAATCGACATCGCAACACCAGCCCAGGACGCAGATGGACATGCTAGTACTATGCGCCCTCCTCGAAATTGCGCGTCCGAACCGAACATATAATTCAACAATTTGTTATACTAGATCGTTTCCCGGGCGGTATGGCCAACAACGCCCGCCACAGATCATATACTATGAGACGTCTGAGTTCGCGCGTAGCCCCTGGGGGTCCTTGGTCAACCGCGCAACGTAGTCGGAGGGCTCCTGGTTTCAAACGCTGTTTTTCGGAACTGGCGAACCCCTCTCGTCCCTTTCATCCCATGCCACGTCAACGCTCCTCCCAAGTGCCTTATACCACACGCACCACATGGATTCCGTTATGCAGATATCTATATAGATGTACGTCTATGTGCACATCATCTTCACATAGTTTACACCATATAGCACGTAGCTTACACCATGTATCTTGCACCACTTAGATCGCACATCGGGAGTGCAACCACCTAGTGTTGGGGTTCACGCTGGCAAACATTTCTTTGTCAAAGCAATGTGCATGGGTCGGGTCGCAAGTGGGTCGCGGGTGGGTTGCGAGGTGAATCGCGTGGTGAGTCGCGGGTGGTTCACGGGGTGGGTCGCGGGTGGGACGACAACACGCAACGAACGAACAGCCCGCAGCAACCCTTGGCTCACTCGTCCACCTCCCCTCTTACGTGCCCTCCGCTGTGCCTTGGTCAACGTGTCTGGCCGCCAGTAGTCCAGCATGCTGAACTCATCTTCATTGATATGGTGCATGCCATTCGGTCCTACGGCGTGGTCGACAGGGAAGTAGTCCTCGCCACCGCTGGAACATAAGACATGCGATTTGTTTTTTGCTGGGTTGCTCATAACATATTCAACAGATGGGAAGCACCAGACAGAACCAGAGCTCCCAAGGAAGGCCCGACTCATGACCTAGGGAGATTATCAAGCCTCTCCTAACAATGCAGAAACTCAAAGGTTGCCCTGCAACCTCGAAGTCCACCGCACCACTTTCTCCGCCTGATCGGCTTACTGCCTTCATGCAATGTCGCATGGCTTGTGGAAACTTGCAAGGCGAAAGTCAAAACCAAAAGTCTGTCTGAACAAAGACGACTGAAGCTGAATGGAGCAACCCAGTACACGGGATGACGGGCTCGTTGTGCAAACTATGGCGGCTGACATCGGGCACCAGGAAGCCGAACTGGGGAGCCAGTTGCCCCGGATGCCAGAAGGTGGAATACAACGATCTGAACAACTCCAGCAACCTTCATTCGGTCTGTCCCCTCCAGGGCTGCAAGGGCGGCTGGGCGACGGAAGCCGGCGAACGACCTCGAAGCCGCCCTGGGAACCTCTCGCTCGAGGCAGTCGGGGGAGCGCTAGGCGCGGAGCTCCCGAGGTAGCCCTCCAGCCTCCTGTGCCCTCTCCATGAAGGGGCCCAAGGACACACAAATAAATACACACAAATAAAACGATTGCCCGTATTTCCCCATATTTTATGTTTTTTTGTCTTTCCGCCCAATTCCCATATTTTCCCATGTTTTCATGGGGATCGACGATTAATTGTGTCTGTGTATTTTTTCCCCCCCTGACTCCATCCTGTCCCGACCAGAAGTTTCGCGGACTTCTTCGATCGGCGCCGGGCCCCCCTGGCGGCGCCTCCGTCGTCACCCCCTGCGCGCTCCGCGCGCCAGGGAGAGGGCCCAGGCAAGAGGGCCCAGCGCCGATCCAAGAACTCCGCGTGAAGCTCCGAGAATTCATGCCAATGCACTTGTTTTCCTCTTGGGGAGGAGGGCGTCCGCGACGGCGACCGGCCGCGGCTTGGGCAACTCGAGGTCAAGCTCTTGGTTCAGCTGCTCGCGCCGTCTCCACGCCGCGCGCAGCATCTCCTGAGGGCGCCGCAGCAATTCGTCGCGGCGGAAGCGGTGCGCTCGCGGGCGCGGAGAGCGGCACAGGGAGGACAGCTGCCTCGGGAGCCCGACACTGGAGGCCTCCCACATGGGGTCCGAGCAGGTGGGGTTGGAGGATCGCGTCGTTTTGCCGATGCACCGCCGATGCATCGGCGTCGTCGGCGATGCATCGGCGCCGTCGGCGTAGAGAAGATCGGGCTCACTCCACATTGAGCCGCATCAGCGATGCATCGGCAATGCGATCCTTCGACCTCATCTACTGGGACCACACTTTGGAGGCCTAGAACCGCTGTGTTGCGGCGAGCGTGGCCCAGGTCCCCACTGCACTCCTGCACGCACAATTCCTCGAAAAGTAGCAGAGGACGTAAAGCACCCGCTCGAGCCTGCATGTGCTCGAATGAACCCATGCTACATCCGTTTCTTTACGCTTCGGAGCGCCGTTTGTTTACGCTTCGGAGCGTAACGATGAGCTGCACTCCTGCGCGTGCTTCCTGACTCCCCGACGATATGCTTTTTGTCCACTGGCGGGTTTTCCTCGATGTTGGCTCGATTTGGGCCATCGGGGGGCCGTCTTGAGGCCCCGGGACAATTGGGGAAGCGGTGGGGACCTCTGGGGCCGAGGATTGGAAAATCAACTTTTGGCGGATGTCAGCGTACCTCTCGCGAGGCAGCAGACGGCGGGGACCAGCTGAGGTGGGAAAGTGTCGACCAGGGATCGGCAATGCATCTCCGACAGATTGGCGATAGGGCTCCGATGCCGAATCCGCACGTTCCTGGGCGGGGTGGGCTGTCGGGTCTCTGTCAGCGACCAGCGGGCGATTGGAGGTCGATGCATCCCCCCCTGAGCCTATCCCTCCCCAACGTTGTCCCTGAGTAGCGCCACCGCTCGAGTCTGAATATGTTGAGCCCATGCTGCATCCGTTTCTATGCGCCTCGGAGCGCAACATAAAGCTGCAATCCTGCTCCGTTACTGGCGGGAGAGCCTAGCCACATGCTTGGCCTAGCAGGCGACGGGAGGGTCCCCGACGGCCAACTACAGTTGTCTCAACTCGCCGTCCTCTGAGTCTGAGCTGCCTCTTCGAGGCCACCCTGGTCCCGATCTGGTGCCCACTGGTGCCCACGAACGACCTTCTCTTCGACCACGCTAGCATTCCGATGCATGTCCCAAGTGGCCGTACACTGCGTATGAAGGGGTCCGGTGAATACGTGGAGCCCTCAGACATGCATAGAGTATTAATCAACATAACCACAAACTTTCGGAACTCCACGCGGACTTCTTGGATCGGCGCTGGGCGTCGCTCAGTGTGGGAAGTGTCGAGCTGGAATCGGCAATACATCGCCGATGGATCGGCGATAGGTCTCCGCTGGTAAATCCGCAGAGGAGGGCGGCTGTGGTCTGTCGGGCCTCGGCGCTGTCCATGAGCGCTTGGGGTCGATGCGGCCAACCCTCCGCCATCACCCCTAACGTTGTCCTTGACTGTCGATGGCACAGCGCACTTTTACCCACAGACTTTCGAATAGGTACGGCGGGTTCGTGTTGCGACGACTTGCGCGGTGGTCTCTATCGTCAACCTTGAACAGTCGCGACTTTCCGATCGCGAAGTCGTTCGATATCGGCCGATTCTGGGCAACTGGTCCCATTCAACCTTGAACGCCCTCGTTCGGGTCGCCGCCGCATCGACACGTCAAGAATCTGTCGCAATCTGCCGTAACATTGCACCTTGGTCCGTGGCATGCCAGCACATCGCCGAGCCCAAGCTAAACTGCTTCGTCGGTTCGGCCTGTGGGTGATGATCGACTCGGCACACCAAGCAATTTGGCGAATCGGAGTGTCAGCTCCACGACTCCTCCAGGCTTGCGCCTTCTCCTCCCTCGCGCTGCGCCCATCGTTTGGAGTCCTTCGCGACACCACGCTCCTACTGCAGGGACGGGAACATGGAGCATGGATGGGCCTGCCTCCGTGGAGGCAGGCCGCGCAATGCAAGGAAGATGGGCAGACATGCGGAGAGAGGAGAAGGGAAGGCGAGGAGAGGAGAGAGGAGGAATGGTCCAAAAGGAAGAGGCTCCGCCTACCCCTCGCTGTTCAGGGATCGCCAGCCCACCAGACATCGGGCACTCTAATCTTTGATGCGTGGACCCCCGGAGGCCTGGACGCCCCAAAGCCAACTCTTCGTCCAGAGTCGTTTCCGATGGTCCCGGGGCGCGTTGACGGCCCACGGAGGCCGCACACGGCCACACACACAGGCCGCTGCACCTTCTTCGGAGCCTCGGCTCTCCGCGCCAGGCTGGCCCCGGGGCGCGCTCGGACCGGCGTCGCGTGGCGAGCCCAGTCGTGGCGTCGAGGGCCCCTCCCAAAGGCCCCAACGAGGGTGGAGCTGCAGCCAGACCGCCCAGGGAGCCGACCTCCGTCGGAGGAGGAGGAGGAGGGGGAGGAGGAGGAGGAGGACGAGGAGGAGGAGGAGGAGGAGGAGGAGGAGGAGGAGGAGGAGGGGGAGGAGGAGGAGGAGGAGGAGGAGGAGGAGGAGGAGGAGGAGGAGGAGAGGACGACGAGGAGGAGGAGGAGGAGGAGGACGAGGAGGACGACGACGAGGAGGAGGAGGAGGAGGAGGAGGAGGACGAGGAGGAGGAGGAGGAGGAGTGCCATGTCTGGGGGGGATTGAATCGCCAAGCGTGCAAGCCACATACAGTCAACCCGCGGCCCGCATAGTAAGGATGAGCCATTTTCCAGGGCTGCCCTTGCATCCTGCCCCTTCGGCCCATCCTTAGCGACTTTCGCTGGCCAACCTCGTTCGAAAAACGTTAGCATGGCCCTGCAAGGCCCTGGCATCCTTACCGCATATCCCTATTATGCTGGTTGACTGTAGTGTCTCTGGAAATGCGGTTGATGGACAACATCCTTCACCACCTGCGCAACCGTGGTGCTAGCGCAAACTTCCACGCGCCCCCTGCTCCCGATTCACTCTTGATTGGCTTCGCAAGCGAGATGCAGGATTGCGGCCAATCGACAGATCGACACAGTGCGGCGCAGCCCGTCAATGGTAAGTTGAGCGCGCGGGAGGAGTCGACAAAAATCAACATGCGCATGTACAGGACTTTGTTCATCAGCCTGAGGGTGAAACGCTTGGGAGGTATTCGTCAGAACGGTTACAAACTCTTAGGCTAGATGAAGGGGCCATTGAGCCGGATTCAGCCAAATTAAGCCCGCGATTGCGCCGAGATTCAGCTACGATTGAGCGGGATCGAACCAGACTCAACCGGTTTGCGACCAAAGACATACCAGCGCCAATTCTGAGTTGAACCTCCTGTGAATTGCGTCCAAACCTTGGTGGCCCGCCCGGGGGATGCGAGAAGGAGCAGGCCTTCTCACAAGGCGGCAGGGCTTCTCAGACGCCATCTGGCCCTCTGTGAAAAGTCTGCGTCTTCGCGGAAGGCTTAGCACATTTCTCAGAAGGTCCGAGCCCTTCCGAGCCTTCTGAGAGGGTTGTCCCCTCTGCATTCCCTCCTGAGCTCGCGCCGATCCTCCTGGAGATGGGGCAGGCGAGAGGGGGACCCTGAGATCTGGGCGTTGCGATTTCTCCACAACTGGAATTTTCTCACGCTTTCGGGCTGCAGGGGCCGTCGTAAATCGATCCGGCTCTGGAGATGCCGCAGTAAGATGGTGTCGGGGCTCCAGTCGTGATGTCGTGATGTTGCAATTTTCGCAACTCCCCCCGGGCTCTTCGCCGAAGATCAACACTGCCAGTCCCAGTTTGGGGGTCGGGGTAGATGGGGTTGGAGGATCGCGCCGCATCGCCAACGCTCGGCACGATCGGCACAAAAAGAATCGGGCTGTACATCATGCGGCATCGGCGATGCATCGGCAATGCGACGCGATCCTCCGACCCCATCTGCCATCTGCTCGGACCCCCTGTTTGAAGGGGCACTGGGACACACAAATGAATACACACAAATAACAGGATTCACAATATTTTCCCATATTTCCTGGGTTTTTGTCATCCCCCCCCCACTTCTCATATTTTCCCATATTTTCTGGGGAATCGACGATTCATTGTGTCTGTGGTTTTTCCCCCCCTGACTGTTGGAGGCCTGGATCTATATTTTCGGGGCTCAGAAAACTCCTCAGAGAGCCCGAGGCCTTTCGAGCCCTCTGAGAAGGCCCACCCCCTCTCGCGCCCCCTCTGGGCTCGCCGCCCAAGACCTGAGGAGGAGGAGGCGGAGGAGGAGCAGGAAGAACAGGACAACGAGGAAGTGACAAGGGGAACCGGGGCCAGTCCCTGCCTTGGGCTCGAGCCTCAGGGGCGCAAGCGAGCCGTCGTCCCATGGGCGCCGAAACCCGCCGAGAGAGGCGTGCACATCGCGGGGGAGACGCCGCGCCGCGGCTCGGCTCCTTCACCTGCCGGTTGACCTGGGAGGCGCTGTGAACCCCTCCCGCCTTTCTTCCGCAGAACCTGAATTAGGTTTACTCACGGCACAACGCACACGATCTTTTGAACAACGACCACTGCTTCCTCCAAGGCCAAGCCCTCAGCCGTGAACGAAGACACTGGATCTTGGATGAAATTCCCTGCCAATATCGCCGGCTTTCCTGCGCCCAGCTCTACTGCTCTCTGAACCACTCCTGCCCTCCCTCCCTCGCTCGCTCCGTACTTTTCCCTACATTTGTCTCTTGAGCGTGGTTCCCAATCTTGTTTTGGACGAGGATACCTCGCCAGCGTCGCGCCACGACGGCCCTTGCTCCTACCTTGCTGTCTTGCTCTGCGCACTTTGTTGATTTGATTCTTCCTCTGTGGCTGATTCCTCGTGGCCCATGCAAAACTTCAAGAGAAGTCCGCGGGGTCTAGATCATAGGAATATCGATGTATAGGGTGTTGTGGATGTGTGTGTGTCTATACTTGACGGGTATCACTTAGTATAGATGGACGTCACTTGGGTTTTGATGGTGATGGTGATAGCGGCGATACAGATGGATGACGATGCTGGTGAGCATGGGGACGGTGCTTATAATGGGAGGTGACGATGGTGAAAATGATGACGCTGATGGCGATTATTTGATGATGGTCATCATGGTGGTGAGAATGGTGATGATGACGGTACCGACGGTGATGTTTCCCAGACGAGCAGCAGGAGGCCCATGCCACTCACTGACCACCGCAACTTACATCCAGGGTGCCAGCACGTTCTGTTTGCATCCAAATCTAGAAGGAGGCCCATGCCACTCTTCCGCGCCCAGTGTCCACAGCAACTTACATCAAGAATTGCAGCGCTCTCTGTTCTCAGCTAGCCACCTGCGCACCCGCGCTTCGTCTCTTTCAGGTGTCTGTGCGAGCACTCGGGACAGCGGTGATCGATTTGCCTATTTGTTTGAGGCGGTATCCCAGACGCGCGTCTTCCACGACGCCGCGTCGAGTAAACCAGGGCTGTAGCGAAGCTGGAATTGGCCGTTCAATCGGCCGCAACGCCCACGCCCGACTGTAGTGTAAACCATGCCTGGAAAAACAAGGGGTCCATGGGCATGCGTTCCTCCTGGTGGCGGGGGGGCTGCCGCTGGCGGTGGTTGACGAGGCGCTGGCGCTGGTGCTGCCGCTGGCACCGGAGGTGCTGGCGCTGGTGCTGGCGGTGGTTGTGCTGGCGCAGGCGCAGGCGCTGGAAGTGCTGGTGGTGGTGGCGGTGGAGGCGGTGGTGGTGGCGGTGGGAGGGCAGGCGGCGGCTCCTCTGGAGGGCGGCCTGCCGCGGTCTTCGGTTTAGCCTTCGCCATGGCCTTAGCCTTCGCCATGGCCTTGGTCTTTGCTTTTTTTTTTTTGTTTTTTGTTTCGGACCCGGAAAGTCCAAGCCGGCAAGTTTCCGTTTCTGCAGTTTGTATTCGGCGCATCCATGCCTTATCTTTCTCTCATTCATGGCCTTCCCGACCTCTGGGGATTCGCTCTCATCCTCGGCGTCGGTCCTTCAGAGCCACCTCGACCAGCGCGTCGTCAAACGCTGAGGCGCAGTGTACTTCGGACATAGAAATGGCGCGTAGATCCTATCACCCGTGGAGTTGGCAGGGTCGTTGGGTTCCAGTGACTTACCAATGGCGTTGCAAGCGTGCGTCGAAGTCGTCGCCCCTTCGGGCGCATCGACAATCGCTGTTGGAGCGAGCGCGCTGCAAGAGGTCATTCAAGTCCCACGTGTTAGCAGATGTCGGCAGCGAGTGCCTCATGAGAAAAACTGGGTCTGCGATCTGCCTCGCGGCAACTCCAGTGTCGGCCAGCGCGAGGGCAACTGCAGGGGCGACCTTCCAGTCGGATGGGCCCGCGACGTGGATCCAAGCCACGGGGCCCTCACGGTGCTGGGCGCATGTTGCTGCAAATTTGCTGGCGGCTGCGCCTGCAACTCGAACGCATGGCCCGACCACCCAAGACCGCAGGAGCTAACCGTGGGAACCAGAGAAACCAAACCCCAATTCCAACATTATAATACCTGAAACGGCCGCAGCAGTCGATACATAAATGCAGCCCAACATATTTGCCGAACCCTGGACCTTGGTAAATGTGAAATACGTGATGTCGTCAAAGGCGCCGCGGCGCAGCTGCTGGCCCAAGACGGCCCGTGCGTGGCGGCAAAGGGGCAACCATAAACGATCTCCGCACTGGGCGATGCGTAGAGCTGGCGCGAGCTTCGCGAAACGGGCCGCGCCCAGGCTAGCAGCATTGCCCGTGCGCCGACGCCGCAGGTATTCGCGCAGCCACCATGCCCATGCCGCCGCAGCCTTGTTCGCGCGCTCCTCGTTCAAGGTAGGTCGCGTTTCTTTCCCCCCGGTATTTTGGGCCAGCTCGCTTGTGACTTGTGCCTGTAGCTCCAGCATGTAGATACCGTGGCCTTTTTTAAGCACCGTGCAATTGTTGAGGCAATCTTGCTCTTTCACGCCTGGTTTGTGAGGCGCCCCTCGCGCATCGAAAACCCCCCTTGTGTTGACTGGATGCTGAAGCCTGTCGCGATAAAGATTTTTGTTTGAATTCGCCCGAGCATCGGGCCGCAGCGTGCCACGGGTGTCTTCGCAATTTTTGTTGTCCGCCAGTGCCCCAATCATACCTTTCAGTGAATGTCTCCCAGCGAATGACCTGCGGTCATACCTGTCACGGCAACAGAATTCAAACAACCCCCCGGCAGGCTTTTGCAACCAGGGCCATGTCGTTCCACGGCGCTGTGCTGCTGCATTAAGTGTGCCGAACTTCCTCAGCTTTTGGTGGTCCGTCTTCATGGTCGCGCAGGCTCCGTCGGCGACGTGCGCGGATGCTGACGCCGCAGTTTCATGGCTGTCAGGAGGCAGGCTGCGCTTGACCATGCTCCAAATTTTACTCTGAACAGTATGCAGCGTCAGCGATCATGCCTTCGTGGCCTTGTCGCTCTCCCCTGGTTGCATGTCCATGAACTTCAAATTGCCGCTGTCGTGGAGAGCGTGAACTGCGTTCCACGCGCGGTCCTGGAACTGCCGCCCGCCGCTGGCCAAGCTCATAATGTAATTGGGCGCGTGGTCCGGCGCCTTGATTATTTTCATGTACTCTGTATGCCAACCCGAACATGTATTCCCAGCAACCCGTAGGGAAAAGGCGCGCGGCGTCCGCCGCCGCGCGCGCGCCGCATGAATTTGAAAATTGCGCGGTTGCGGCATGCCGAACATATTGATTGCAAGCCGACTTGTCAATGTGATCGGCCCGCCGCAACCACCTCACTTGCGATTGCCGAGGGTCTATATGTATAGACGCGCATAGGTATGTATGTATGCATGTATGTATGTGTGTATGTATGTATGTTTATATATATATATAAAATGTATATGTGTATATATATATATATATGCGCACGCAGGTGTTTTTTGTTGGTAAAACAAAACATGCCCCCCACCCCCCCGAGCCACCGCCCCCCCCATCGAGGGCGCCCGCGCGACGCCGCAGGGCCGGGCCACGAGCTTCCCGCGACCCGACCCCCAGAGGGCCCACAAAAAAATGTCGGCCGTTGCGGCCCGCTGGGGTTGGGAAGGGTGGCCCCGCCGCCGCGCCGCTCCACGGCGGCCGTTCGGCTCGGCGGCGGGATCCACGGGTCTGGCGGACTGGCAATAACCATTGCGCGAACCTCACCCGCCTCCGCCGTAACACCCCGAACCAAAGAACTCGCCATGGCATGGCATATCACGGCGCGCGCCAGCGCGCAATCTGACCTCGTCGGCGCGCTGGCAACTGGCAAATTTTTCCCCGGATCGTGCATGTATGATCGTGGACGCGGCGCGCCTGTGCCCCAGCCGTCATGATTTTCGCTTTCTCGTGCATCGACGCCGTCATGAGCGCCGTGCACAAGAGCTCCCACCCGTGCATGCGCCCACCACAATCGATACTGAAATCGCCATAGGGAAAATCGAAGCCTCGCGGCACCTGTGGCTGCACCACCGAATCGGTCGTCGGTCGGCCTCGACCGCCAGACGCCCCTCGCCGAATTAGAACCCATCGGGACCCATCAGAGTCCATCAACCTCAATGACCATGCATCAAGATTCGGTCCCAACCGAAGTGGTTTCGATATTTGCTGGATGGTGGATTTTGATGGATTTGGATGGGTTCGGATGGATTCTGGATTTCCCACAAGTTTCGTGGGGTTATGGTTTTCTTCCCTGCCGCGTCGCACCCGCGTCTCCCTCGCCTCCCCTCCTCCTCCTCCTCCCCTCGCCCGCGCGCGTATTGCGGGCTCGCGCAGCGTGGCAGGCGTGGCGTATTCTCGACGCCATAAAGGGGTGCGCAGGGGGTGGTCTCTCAGCGCGGCCGCTATCCGAGCCAGTAGTCCAGGGCATAGCAAGCGCGGCACTTTCTCGACACCGTGGGGGGTGCGCAGGGGGGTGGTCCCTGAGCGCGGCCGCTATCCGAGCCAGTCGCCCAGGGCATAGCAGGCGGTGCATATTCTCCGCGCCATAAAGGGTGCGCGGGGGCATAGTCTTTGAGCGCGGCCGCTGTCCGAGCCGGTCGCCCAGGGCGTAGCAGGCGCGGCGCTCTCTCGACGCCGTGAGGGGGTGCGCGGGGGGTGGTCTCTGAGCGCGGCCGCTTTCCGAGCCGGTCGCCCAAGGCATAACAGGCGCGACATATTCTCGACGCCATAGTGGGTGCGCGGGGGCGTGGTCTCTGAGCGCGGCCGCTATCCGAGCCGGATGTCCAGGGCGTAGCAAGCGTGGCCTAGTCTCGACACCATAAGGGGGTGCGCGGGGGGTGGTCTCTGAGCGCGGCCGCTATACGAGCCAGTCGTCCAGGGCATAGCAGGCGCTGCATATTTTCGACGCCAATAAGGGGGTTGGCAGAGGGTGGTCTCTGAGCGCGGCCGCTATCCGAGCCAGTCGTCCAGGGCGTAGCAGACGCGGCGTATTCTCGTCACCTCAAGGGAGTGCGAT